AATTTGAAGATCAGTGGCATCATAATGTCCAAGATATGCATTAAAATTAATCTTAAAAAAGATGCGTTTGTGAAACACTATGTGCCCAGTGGCAACAAAGTTCCCAAAAAATATTTTTAGCATATAGGTCACAGTCAAGGTCACAAGGTCATTGACCTTGGTGTCATTTGAAAGAGCTTAATTAGTTGAGAATGCATACTAAATATGAGGTCTCTGTCTCTAACGGTTCAAAAGTTATGGCAAAGGTTAAGGTTGACAACAGACAAACAGATAAACAGACAAACAGATGGGACAAAACAATATACACCTCGGACCTATGGATCCGGGTGCATAACTAATACCTGCAAAATTTAAACAAGAGGCCCATGGTACACATCGCTCACCTGAATTGCTTTGACCATGCCGTTCTTAACCAGATTTCCTTCTTGTAATACCTATTGTGACTCCACGGGTCAATGACCATTAGATTTGGACAATTTAAAATCTACACTACCCCATGATGCTTCCACATATTAAGTTTCAGCTTTTCTGGCCCTGTAGTTCCTGAGAAGCAGATTTTTAAAGTTTTTCCTATACATTTCAATGTAAAACTTTTATTCCCTATATTGTGGCCCCACCCTACTGCCAGGGGTAATGAATTGAACAATTTAGAATTTATGCTACCCAAAGATACTATCACATAAGTTTTAGTTTTTCTGGTCCAGTGGTTTTTGAGAAGAAGATTTTTAAAGTTTTTTCCTATATATGTAAAACTTTGATTCCCTTGTGTGGCCCTGCCCAACCCCCTGGGGTCATGATATGAACAATTTAGAATCAATGTTACCCAAGGGTGCTTTCACATAAGTTTTAGTTTTTCTGGTTCAGTGGTTTTTGAGAAGTTTTAAAAAATAAATTCCAATATTTTTCTATGTAAAATTTGATTCCATACTGTGGCCCCACCCAACCCCCAGGGGTCATGGTTTGAACAATTTAAAATCTACACTATCCCAGGATGCTTCCACATAAGTTTCAGCTTTTCGGGCCCATTGGTTCTTGAGAAGAAGATTTTAAAAATCTTTTTTCCTATATATTTCTATGTAAAGCTTTGATTCCCTATTGTAGCCTCACCCAACACCCGAGGGTCATGATTTGAACAATCTGGAATCTACACTACCCAGGGATGCTTCCACATAAGCTTCAGCTTTACTGGCTCAGTGTTTCTTGATAAGAAGAATTTTTTAAAGACACCACCCTATTTTTGTCTTTTCTTGATTATTCCCCCTAATGACAGGACTTGGCACTTTATTTTAACACTATTTACTCCCCTTCATCCAAGGATGCTTTGTACTAAGTTTGGTTAAAATTAGCCCAGTGGTTCTTGAGAAGAAGTCAAAAATGTGAAAAGTTTACAGATGGATGGACAGACAGACGGACTACAGAAAAAATGTGATCAGAAAAGCTCATTTGAGCCTTTGCCTAGGTGAGCTAAAAAGTACATCACTATGAACTATAAGGATCTGAGATGCATCAACTGATAAGATTTGATAATCCTAGTCCTTATAATGGGTAAAATATCTTTTTTAACAAATCATCAATTTGACTCAGCTTTGAAGTAGATTTGGATATATGGACTTTATTAAAAACTAGAGGTACTGTGAGCATTGAGCTCACTAAATGATACCCCCCGCCTCCAATATGGTTATTATGGCAAAGTCCATGTTTTGCTGTGGCCGGGAAACACAAAATATGTGTCGGATCAAAAAGTAAAATAGGAGATGCACAATTGCAATATGTAATAAAGATTCTTTGAAAGTTTCATTAAATTTCGCTCTGACAGTGGTATAAGAGGAGTTGCGGATAAGAGATGGGTACCCCAAAGCATAACAGACAGACAGATGGACGAACGTACAGACAAACGGACAGACAGACGGACAGACATACCGATTACAGTATACCCTCCCACTTTTCAAGCTGGGGTATAAAAACACACCACATAAATGGCCATAGATGACCTCTTGAAGCCTTCTGCTCAGAAGAGCTAATAATGGTGATATTTCATTTAATAATTTAGGTACCATGATTTGGTACTATGGCATAAACTATTGATTTCATTGCCTATGAACTGACCCCCCCCCCCTTTCTACATAAAGTAATGGCAAATTGCATCTCCAGGCAGTAAATGAGATTCTGCAGAAGCTTCATCATTGAATTTCATTTAGGTATTTTATAATGATTTGTGTTAACAGAGTGAATACCTCCCCTCCTTTATTTAAGGAATTTTGGTTTAAAATGTACACGACTTGATTCTTTACATTTTTTTTCTCAAATGTGCTTTCTCTACTTTGCCAGAACAAAATAAGGACCATGCATTGGGATATAGGTATACTTATTATACTTACTTAGCATCTCTACCTACAAGTTGTATAACGAAAATCCCATAATCCAACTGTTGCTTCATGAGAAGGGCATGCATGTTGTTGAGAACTCAAACGAAGGGCCACGCCCTCTTCCAAGGGGAGATAATTATGAAATAAATGCAATTTTTAAAAAATCTTCTTCTCAAGAACCACTGGGCCAGGAAAGAAGAAACTCGTGTGGAATCATCCTCAAGTAGTGTACGTAGATTCAAGTTTGTTCAAATCATGACCCCCGGGGAAATTTTGCGAAAAAGGGGTATATGAGTACAGATGGTAAGTTATTTTTAACGATTGAATTTTTTTTGTTAAAAATGGTAATGTTTTTATGTCACATTATAGCTGACATAATTTCTGCGTGTTTTATATTTTGCGAATTAAAAATGATCACAAAAAATGCGAAAAATAGATTACCGCGAAAAAAAAAATGGATATACGGTATCGAAAAAGGCTGGAAAACATCAGGTTTTTTGGACCAAATGGCCATATGATTAAGTGTCGAGTATAGGACAAAGTTTGCAGCTGTCCACCAGCAAGTGGTGGCGTCTCCTTTTTAGTGAAAAATTCTCGAGAGGGACGTTAATTAAATAAGGAAGTCAGGACATGGCGGTATAACTAGCTGAACGTTTTAAATCAATCAGTATAATGTTTCATCTTCCCGCAAGATTTTTTTTCACACGACCTTAATTTAAAAACATCTCTTTAGCATAAGGAACTGACTCAGTACAGGTCTATTAATATAAAAATATTTAACATTATTTTTGAAATTTATCTTTAATATCTTAAGTCGACTTTTCCTCTCGGCGAGCAGAGTTTTTGCGCTGTTTGCGGAGAGAAAGAGATGTTATGAAATCACAATTTTTCGTTTGAGGTTTAATTTTAGTTGATATCCTAATATGAAGAAATTTATTAAAAGTATCAGCTCTAGCTCTCATTAATCTCCTTTATGTAACAAAAATATGTTGGGTCGATGTTTGACACGTGTTAAAAAGTTTGCTTTGGGCGAACTTGATTTGTCTACACCTTTTACCCGTGTCAATTTTCTTAGTAAAGTACAAAGGTATAGACATTGGTACACATTCGGTGTACAATTTCTTACACCTTTAGTCAAGTTTTCAGTCAAGCACTGGCGAGATACAAAACATATACTACATTATGTACACTGCATGCACCTTGTAAAATGCATTTGATTACACAATAGGCAATACACTGTAATTGGTGTACTTAAGCTAAATCAAGCACGTTCTTGGCAATGCTATACCATATGCAGAGACTTAATGTCCAATATATGCATGAATGTGCACATGCATTTTAGTTTACGTGACGAATTTCTTTCTTGTTCTTTTGAAATGAATTTCAACTTTAAACCAGAGGACCTATAAAGAGAGCTATCTAAATTGTCCCAAGAACCATAATCTCTTGTTAGACAGAGGTGATCATTCACGAAAGAAGCGAGGGTGTTTCTTAGCAAGATTCCGTGCATATTATTTATTTATTTTTATTCACCAATCAAAGGCCCTCTGGGGGCATATACAATTAAGAGACAAACAATATAATCATTATTATAACAATGCAAAATTGACATGATCCTCACTTGTAAAAGTTCTCAGATTTCAAATACTGATATACAGGGTAGTTCACAATGAAATATTAGCATTACATATAATTTAATGAAAATAATAAAATATAAAGAAAAAAAATTTAATAATAATAAAATACCAATTAAGCTCCTTTATACTGCAATGACCAGGCGGATAATAGCAAACGAGTACATGTAATCAAATTATTATCAATAATAATCATATTATTACAAAAAGTATATATATTTTGTTGACCTGGTAGCATAAGGTACCAAGGGGCGATGCCTATTGAGCAGTCTGGAAAAAATGAAAAACCAGGTTGCTCGGTCTTATACCTCAAGCAACCAAGACAGCTTGTAGGAGGAAAACTTAATTTGTTGGCCTGACTACTTATATGCTGTAAATTTTCGTTGAGAAGCTAATAATTAAAACTTTCTGTAGAGAACAGTCAAACAAATGAGCAATATGAATTTAGTAATCAAGGTCAAAAGTTTCCGTAAATGTACTTTACATAAGTTGTTCAGTTTTACCGGTCAATTGTACTGAAAGTATAGGTACAGTGCTGTACCAACTCTTAGGCACTTAGTTTTAGGTTAAACACGTTTGAAAAGAGGACATTGTGCATAAATATTTAAAGAGTGCATACTATATCAACATTCTATGAATGTTAAAATATTTATTATTTTTAGCAAAGTTGGAATCTTAAAACATTGTATGTTTGCAAAATATTCTTTCAGCGTAAGTTATATAGAATATTGTATTTAGTTCTGCAATTTTATTTTTTAAACTAAAAATCTCAATTAGCATATATTTCAATTGATAAAATTATTTTGATTTTTAGACCTGCATTTAAAATCAATTTAAATGGAACGTTTATTAAAGTTAATTTCGAGTTCGAACTTGACAAGGACTGATAAACACAGGTGATATTTAATAGTGATAGCACGGTGTAAATATATCTATAATCCCATAGAAAAATTCACCCGGAAGTTTTGGTCGTGAGGGTGACCCCGCTACCCTTTACTACCGCCCCGTGCTATAAAATTCCCGGACAATGGAGATTAAAATTCCAAAAATATCGAAGGCGGAAGCTTAATTCTTTCCTATTTTTCGTTCTATATCTAGACTGGGATCAAAGTAAAGCACTGGAAAAAATCATAAACAAGTCCATGTAGTTTGCTGTGTTGTTCTTGTAGCGGACTTATGTAATATATGTATGTTCACCTGTTGTATATTTACTCATTACCTGTGATCTGGACAATTTTCTAAGCATCCTGGCCCGCGCTTGAATATGACTGATGTTAGATTTGAGGGACTACTTCAGAAACCGGGAGTAAGTTAAATAGTACTCATGTTTGTTATAATGATAAATCCATTTTAATCTTTTGATATATCCTTTGATCTTACTATTAATCTCTTACGTAATCTATGGTAATAAATACTACGTATGTATATTTATATAGTGTTATAAATGTCATTGATATGCGAATTAGTTTAGCTAGAATAAAAAGACTAGAATAACGGAACTTTAATTTGCATATTTCATTCAAATCAATTTTCCATTTTTTATCGTCTATTAAAATCCCCCGCTTTGTGCCTGTAACCTGAACTTTTGTGTCATCCGTCACAACACTTGTTTACTGGTACAAATTTCCCGAACCTGAATCATTTCATCTGTTTTTTTTAATATGGTAAATATTTCAAGAAATTATTGATCCTATTATAATACTGAAACAAGAAAATTGATGTAATGTAATCGGTGCATCGAGATTTAAAGACATTTAAAAAATGTATATATTTCTTTTTTAAAAGATAACCGCAGCCTTTTGTTTCGAAACCTTATAACTCTTGAACAATTACTAAGTATTTAGTTCCTAGTACAACAGAAAAATGGAGAGGTTCATCGCTGAGTAAAACACAATGGCAAAATCTTATTGACAATACACATACATGTAGTACTAACGCTTCGAACTTCAAAAAGGAGATAAAGAAATTAAGCGATTAAAAATATGAGAGTTAAAACTAAACAAAACAAAAAAAAGACGCGCATCAAAGAATTGAATTCGATTTTTTATAAACAAAACATTTATGTATCTTAGAGCATCCACCCTCATTTCTCTATAAGTGCCTGGATTGTCATTCCTAATTGTTCCGAAAACCTCCTTAAAAGTCATTCACCATTGATGATCACCACTTGGCCAAACGGAAATCCATCTCTGAATGATCAAACATTTTCCTCAAGCATCTGTCTAAAAACTCAAAGTCTACAGTCAACGAAACGTATAACGTTACACAATTTTTTTGTCAGTTGACTGAGTGTGTTTTAGATTGTGCATTTATACATATGTTTAATTTTGTAGAGAATACCGGGACGGAAAACAAAGGTCTGGGGCGTTTTGGATGGGAAAGAACTATTTTTCTACAGGGAAAATAAGGTATGTTTTAGATCTCCGATATATATATATATATAAAGTTAGCAGCTGAATCTGAAATTAAAAGGTACATGTATTCATGAATTCTAATCACGGTTTTACACTTTTGAACTTAAAATTGGTAGGTTGAGACATATTTATAGCATGTTTGAGAACCATGCAACATTTAGAAAACAATATTTAGTATAAGGAGGGGTGGGATTATGATAAGCAATGATCAAGTTTAGAAGATAGCACAGAAAATATACGGAGAGATGGGTGTAGACAACCATAGAGTCGGGGAAACGGAAAAGGGGGGGTGGAGGGGGGGTCGGATACTTATTATACATGGATTGTATATTTAATATTTAGGGGGTCTATATACAATCTTGCCGTCTGTCATATCTGTCGCAAGTCATTGTTCTAAAGTAGGAGTAATTTAAGGTTTTAGGAAACTGTATAATCCGAATGCTGTGTATTTTTATGATGTAAATTCGTCACTAACCACAGAGAACTAATTAGCCTGTACATGTAGTCTACAGACACACAATTATGACAAGTTGACAACAGATTATCAGGTTCATGACTATCCTTCTTTACTGTAATTCAGTGCGCTATATGACTCATTTTAATAGGTGTACGACCAATGCTTAACAAGAAATTATTTTATGACTGAATTCTTATAGCTAAATTGCAATCATTAAGATTATGCGAGGAAATATCGTCTTTAATTGGCAAAGAGAGGAGGATATGCCCCCCTCCCGACCCTCCAAAGTGTTGGTATTACATTGAAAAGCAAAAAATCCTTAGTATAATTTGATGATCGGGAGAAATATGAAGACGAAGATCTGAAAACTTTGTCAGAATAAATTGTTTTAGAAATATGTTGTAGAATCTTAATTCATATTAATACCGATAGTAATACCCGGTATTCTCTGTCACATGCTTTATAGTTGTTTATGTTCCCCAACTTATTCCATATTCGAAGTAAGCACTCTTGATGCTATATGTTCAATTTTTAAAGCGAGTCAGGCTACTGACAGATAAGTTGTTCTTACAGGGATTGAAGTTTTATCATTTAATTCATTAGGCGTTATAGTGACCTAGACAGCAAATATAACTTACAACTGGGTCGTATTTTGACTGACTTGTTTCATATCAATCGGTAGGTCTTTGTTTTTATATGAAATGACCACATAATGTTTCCTCTACCTGATCAAAACACAGGACTGACGGCAGATGTGACCGATCGACAGGGAATGCTTACTCCTCCCTGGCACCCGATTCTTGCTCTGAAGGTTCTTTTGTGGAGTAATTTCCGTGTTTTTGCCCAGTTCATAGACTTGTATTGTTTGAAGTTCTTTTTTAAAGATATGGAACACTGTTCTTTATCTTCACCTTGTTCATTGTTGACATATTTTAATCATTCGATGTGCATTATCAAACCTTTGAAGTAGTTCGTGAGAGCTAGATGACCTGTATTTTTAATCTTTCGGGAAATTTACGGGATATTCATATGTATAAAGTACAAATGAAAATCTTGGCACCTGGATGGTTTTCAATAACCGAGTGACTTTTTTTAAACATCAGTCCTGAACGTAGAGATTTTTTATGTAATATCACTTTTGGAGGTAGAGTTCCTGTTTTAGTTCCTGTTCGTGGAAGTATCATAGGATTGCATTGTCTAAGGTTTGCTGGCTTTTTCACTCATCTAGTGTTAGACACGGCCTCTTTCAATAGAATTTATGGTAAAATTTAGGCACTCGTACCAACAAAAAAAAAATAATTTGCGACTTCAAAAATATCTTATATTTCAAAATGATTTATCCATAGATTCATTAAAACTCCCAGTTACCAACGAGCATACGTGTACATTGAGATGTAAAATTAATTTCTTATGTTTAGATTTTAGCTTTGTAAAACTAGATGATTAAAAAAAATACCAAGTTCGTCTACATAAGTTAACTGATATTGTCCGAAGAATTAATTTTCAACTGCATGTGATTTTTGCCTTCTTAATATACCCTCCCTTATATATTATACATGTATATGTACGTATATACATGTATGTAATTGAAGATCAATCGATTATCAAAATTTACATACAGAAAACAGGAAATCCCGCAGAATCTCTTAGTCTTGCTGTAAATTGATAGTATACTTCCTCTTCGTTACAAGTACCGTATTTCAGCTGAATTCCGGGTGAAGTTTGCCCAGGCACTGGTCACACAGATACATGTTACAAAATATAGAAATACTTATAACCAAATAATTGTATTGATGAGACTACATATTTTATATTAAATATAAATTATATTATACGTTAATGAACATCGTTTAGCAACAAATATTCTTTTGATAGAATTCTCGTACCCAGGTACATTCGATAGCGAACAGGAACTTAATTTTATTGACTCGGAAAGAATGGGTTATACTTTTTCTATATGTTTATCATGATATAAATGTATTTCCTGTGTAAATTTTTTCATAAAATGAAAGGAAAATAATCACAATGTACGCATGAAATGAAAGGAAAATAATGACGCATTTTTGATAAGATATTTTTGTAGAAAAAAAAACCCCGCTTTTATTTTTTTTTTATCTTTATAATATCTGTGACAATTCATCTTCGAGTACTTCAGTATTATATCCAGTAAAGGTCAAGTAGACAATCGAACGTGTCCCCTCCAACCCTTATCAAAATATCAATATTTGCTTAAAAACTAGGCAGGAAGTATTTCATAAGGATTTTACTGTCGCTTCACTCAACTGTTGAAATTAAAACAACTTTTTTTTCTACGAATTTAACAGAGGTCATCTTGCATCGGTTCGCTGGATTTGTCTCTCGTGAGGAAAATAGAGAAAGTGGTTCCCACAGGTAGCGAATTTCTCATCGACTATGATGGCCGATATGCCCTTTATGTAAGTATTCTGGATTTTATTCATTTTAGAGAAATATGATATTAAGAAAAAATGTTACTTTTACATTTCTTGAAAAACACTTCATCCAACGATCATGGCAGATTTCACGCAGGAACAGGTATAAATCGGTGAATGGTGACAATGTTTGACAATGCAGTGAATTATTTTTAACAGTATGGTCTTGTCCAGAGTTAATTTGTTTTTGGCCAAAAGCGGATTTTGAAACGAAAGGAATAAAATTTGATCAAGTAAACCATATTATTGATGTTAAAACTACCATAGCCTCCATAAATAATCATGCGGTTTTTTTTTTTTTTGTTTTTTTTTGCACGTCTCATTGTTCCGCAAGAGAGGTCTAGAGCAATAAATTTACGACTATATACATCTTGTTGAATGTAAACATGCTTTAAAAAAAGAGATTTATCAAAGCAAATAGCAATGAATACCGTATAAATCAATTTAATTCTGCACACCATTTACATAATTTTCAAGAATTTGTCAATTTGGTAATATCGTGTTAAACAATGTTATGAGTCAGCTATTGACTCAATTAATCATGAGCCAACTGCTGCAAGAAAATTTACAGGAATTGCGCAGCAAAGACTATTGAGTCAGCAAATGATATTTCAATCTTGTCGCTCGGACAAGGATAGTCATATTGTTTCAGAACACTACCGTGTTAAGATGGAATTTCTACTACTTGGTTATTAGAATGATTTTTGAATAATCTTGTTTGTTTTACAAATTTTGAACAGACGGCAGAGAACAGTGTGAAATGCGACGAATGGATAACATACATTACACAAGCTACCCAGTCCCCAGGCAAAAGTAATCAGTAAGTATATATTTACCTACTAGCTAAATTTTTCTTTTTGGAGAAATGGACTGTCAACTTGATAGAGCCGCATGTATGGCTGTCAAATGGTTTACACAGTCACTTTTATTTAATTATTTATTTTCAGACTTCCTATTGCTGGTCAAACCAATGCAACAGAAACTTTCAAGCACAAAAAGACAAACGACACTACAGCATCAATCAAATCCAGAACTGAGACCCTGCAACCTTCTGAAAACAACTCTGGAAGGCAAATAACAGTTAACAAACCATTCCCTGTTCAGAGAGAAGTTCAAAACAAACCTAGAGTGAGTGATAAACCACAAAAACGACCATTTTCTTACAAAAAGGAAGACATTGACAGATCTTCTGACAAACTGGTCAATCTTAAGTGTGTAGAGACAGTTCAGAAAAATGTACCTGCAAAGGATGTCAATTTCACAAAGCTAAATTCTCTTTTGAAGGAAGCAGGCAAAGAAAGTGTAGATCAAACCCCAAAGAATTGTGTAACGAAAGTTTGCAAAGAAAATGTCGCAAAGGAAGTCTTTCGTTCAAATTTAAATGTTAAAACTGAAGCAAAGTGTGATAGTAGGAAGCCTGAAATAGCAAAGTCCCTGAAGAATTCTATAACAGACAACATTAACACAAGGAAAACTGATATAAAAGCGAATTTAGGAAATAGAAGAAGTTCTTCCCTTCCCCAAACTGAAGAAGATACTAGCACTAGGCCAGATTCTGGGTATGAAACACTAGCTGGCAGTGACAATAGAAAGAGTGTTATCACAGAAGAGTATGGAGAAGTTGATATTTCTTCTGTTGTTCTGAGAAAAAGCAGAAGATCAATACTAAGCAGCACCATGATCAATCCAGAATCGGAGCTTCCAAATATGGAGTCAGGGTCAATTTTAAGGGTACCAAAAGAAACAAATTGCAAGGTTTCAGACAAAGATTCTTCTTGTGCAAGTACTCTTGAAGAAAAGTGTATGAAAAAAGATAAGTCTCTGCTCAGCAATGGTGATATTCACAAAGACAAAAATTCAGAGTTGGATGATGTTTATGAAAATGTAAATACTGCAAGGGTTGAGATAAAAGAAGAGAACAATTCTGAGGAAGCTGAAGAAGAAGAAGAAGGAGATTATGTTGTACCTAGACGCAGGAATATTGTTAGCAAAAGAAGCACAATGGTTGATGTTCATGTCCCTCAAGTTGTCATTGAAGCTGATGAAGACAATGAAAATGATGACTATACACAACCATCATCAGAAGGTGGTTTGTTAACAGAGGAACAAGAAGATTTGTTAATAAATCTAACATTTGAACCAATTGAAGACCTTCCCTTTAAATCTGACAATTTACAACATGATAAGTTAGATTTCTCAGAGATCCAAGGTTTTGTAAAAGGTAGCAAATTTCAAAGCAGGAGTTTGGTTTCTTCAGGCAAAAACCCAGTAGAGAGTTTACGCCAACTCCTTGACAAATTGTAGGCTTTCAACCCTGAATTCAAGTAGAATCTCCCTGTTAGCACAGGATGAATCTACAACATTCAGTGAATTGAAAAATGACTGTTGGTTTACTGAATGTTGACTGAATTGCAGAACTCAGTCATTCAGTGATATATCCAGACCATACAATCACCATCAGTGTGGTGGATCCAAGAATCTTGAAACATAGCCACACCCAAATATTGATATATTAAATATTACGTATATTTTCGACACAAAAGGAGGAAGGGGGAGGGAAGGGTCCCTTCTCCAGTGACCATACAGTTGACTGAATGGTGAAGGTTTATCCTGTGTTAAATATAGTTTAGTCTCTCTTACATCATAAATTAAAATGTATTGAATATGCATTTCGAAGACGCAAATACAATTTTTTGCAATATATTCATATGTTGAATTTGATCTTCAAATGTCAGTATGTGGAGTGAATAGACTGAATTGAATGTGGCACATGTATTTGTATATAAGCTTACCTAACTTTGCACTGAGGTAATAATTTTCATAAGTGGAAAAGTGGTACATGTTAAACATATCGTGCAGTTTACGTCCCTATATGAAGTGCAAGCAAAATATAATAAGGAAAATTTGCATGGGTAAAACTTGACAGTATGAATATGTTGGCTTGTTTGGCTTACAAAAAGAACAGCATTATGCAATATGTATGCATGAAGTGTTGAAAGCTGACAAAATACTACTAGCTTAGCTGGCAACAAATTTTGCAAAAGTAATACATTTGCTTTTTTCTGTTCCATTCTGTAAATATTACATGTACTTGTATTACATATACATGCATTTGTAGAACTTTAGAACAAAGTATTAACACAAAATTTTTATTTACATATGTGCAGGTTTTAATGCACATGTATATTGCAAGGAATTGCATTTATATAATGTTTATAAATTAACTGCATTTTCCACTGTGATCTTGCATGCTAGTCAAATTATAAAAAGACTAACTCATGCTTTCAATTTTTCTAATTATATAAGGCAAAGGGCAAGATATTAGTTACTTTTTATGTGTAAATTATGATATTGAAAAAATGCAATGCCAGTAAAATGCAATGTCTCAAATATCTGTTAACTTTGTCAATATTAATGGTCTCATTTTTTAAAAATCTTCTTCCCTTAACTCGCTCTCTCTCTCTATATATACATGTCTTGAATATATAATATATACATATGTATCATTCCTATATTGCAAACTTGTGCTGTGCAATTAGTAGTTTTTTTTTCTAAGAAGATTTTATTAGAAAAAAAAATATACAACAGAGATAAAAATAACTGATATGTACAAGTTAAAACGAATGTCTTAAATTATATGCATGTATTTTAGTAGAGTTCAGCAATTTTCTTATTCTTTCTTATTCCATTAAAAAAGTTCTATTAAATAGTGCACTTTGTTACATTTCTATCAAGGTTTGTCACACAATATACCACAGATATTTGGAGCTATTTAATTCAATAGACAAAACTTAGAGGGGGTATATTAAAATATCCCATTTTATCAGTCTTATCAAAGAGATCTTAATGCTTCTGTCATGCATATGCTCAGTATCTCAGTTTTTGCGGACAGACAGACACAGCAAAAACTATATACCCCCTAATCTTCGATTACAGGGGCATAAAAAAGATGGATATTTTGAATCCGCAATTAGGTTACTAGACCTTACATAATTTCTCTGGTTAACCTATCTATTTAATTAAAATTAAATCATTTATTCATCCATGAACTTCCTCCTTTATCTAAAGAGTTCGTGAAACCATTTAAATATCCAATGAACACCCAATTATCAACCTAAAAATTTTTAGTAAGCAATTCTGGTGTAAAATTTGACATTTAACATTTTAATTGAATAAAAACATTGGCAGTTTCACATTACAGTGTTTTGATCCCGCATTCTTGACCTGGACAAGAACAAAAATTAGAACACTGCTCTCAGGTCATGTTGTCATTTTATCAAGTCATTATCAAAAACCTGAACTTCATTTGTTTTTGAAAAAAAAAAACTTGAACCAGGAAATGCAAATGAACAGGAAATCAACCTGATTCCAAGATATGGTGAAAATAAAAGATTGAAATCGATCTCTGAATGAGGAAGTTAAATTTCCAACATGTTGAGGACAAGGAAGAGAAATTTGCATCACATATACATGATATATGCTGATGTTTATTTCAAAACAATATCAAAAACAAATCTGACTCATGATTCTGTCTAATATGAACAGAGCTCGGTACAATGTTTGAAAAGAACAATACTGTTCATAAATATAGGCTATTTTTAAAGCAACAGTGTTTACATTACATGATTTTACACTTGCTTTAATACCAAATTATTCATTTCAAAATCATCAATAAATGCAACTAAGTAAAAAATATAAATATTGTTAAAAGGAAAAACATATTTTACATTTTAATTTTTTTTGCACTTTCATGATATCCATGACTTCTTCATTAACAAAAATTCTTCACATTGTACATGCACCTTATATATTCATCAAGCAAAATGTCCATTAGGAAAGTATTATGCAGAGAATTCAAAACAAAAATTACATGTATGTTATTACATGATATAAATCATTATATATTTAAAACCCAGTGCATTGTACAAACCAAACAATGACATTATTTGTACATGTTTGTACACATAGTAATATAATAATATAAACCTTTTTAATTTACAAAACATGTGAATCAAATCTTTTGATGCAACAATTTGAGAAAATAAATGACACCAATATTTCTCACCGATTCAATGACTCTAGTTTTTCTATCACAGACACCAATTAAATAAATTCACTTTATCCTTAGTCCGCTGTAAAAGCCTGCAGACCGGTGATCGCTCGTCCTAAAATCAAAGCATGGATGTCGTGTGTGCCTAAAATAAAAAGAAATGTTTGATATTCTCTAAAATTTGCATAATTTCAGTTAACCCATAAAAACTACTAGAAGACTGAATACTGATTTGATTAACTTACAAGAGGCCCAAGGGCCTTGAATCGCTCTTCTGATAAATTGTACAACCTATCACTTGCATTTGAAGCCTCTAACCCTAAGTATCCTAAGACCCAAGTTGTATCAACTGACAAAGTTTGATGATTCTTAGCCAATAGGACTGAAGATATTTTAATAAAGCTATAAAAAACCATGAGTAGGTCACTGTGACCTACTTTAAGATTGAAGTTTTCTGAGGACTCAAGATGCATTAATAGACAAACTAAGATTGAAGATTCTAAGCAATTAAGTATTTGAGATATTCAAAAGTAGGTCACCTTGACTTACTTTTTGGTCTACATTCTTGGAAAACCCATAATGCATCAACTGACAAAGTTTGATTCTTCTAAGCCAATAAATACCTAAGATACTTAAATATAGCCATAAAATGTCGAAAGTAGGTCATTGTGACCTTCATTTTAGTCAACATTTTTCAGAGTCCCAAGATGCATCTGCTGACTAAGTTTGATAATTCTAAGCCAACAAATACCTGAGATATTCAAAAGTAGGTCACCCTGACCTACTTTTTGGTCGACATTCTCTGAAAACCCAACAACTAACAAAGTTTGATGATTCTAAACCGATAAGTACTAGAGATACTTAAATATAACCATAAAATGTCAAAAGTAGGTCACTGTGACCTAATTTTTGGTCGTCAAAATGCATCAACTAACAAAGTTTGATGATTCTAAGTCAATAAGTACCGGAGATACTTAAATATAGCCATAAAATGTCAAAAGTAGGTCATTGTGACCTACATTTTGGTCAACATTTTTCAGAGTCCCAAGATGCATCTGCTGACCAAGTTTGATAATTCTAAGCCAATAAATACCCGAGATATTCAAAAGTAGGTCACCGTGACCTACTTTTTGGTTGACATTCTCTGAAAACCCAAGAGGCATCAACTAACAAAGTTTGATGATTCTAAACCCATAAGTAACAGAGATACATAAATACAGCCATAAAATGTCGAAAGTAGGTCACCGTGACCTAATTTTTGGTCGTCATTCTCCGAAAACCCAAGATGCATCAACTGACAAAGTTTGATGATTCTAAGCCAATTAGTAGCGGAGATACTTAAATATAACCATAAAATATGGAAAGTAGGTCACCGTGACCTAATTTTTGGTCGTCACTCTCCGAAAACCCAAGATGCATCAACTCACAAAGTTTGATGATTCTAAGCCAATAAATACCTAAGACACTTAAATATAGCCATAAAATGTGGAAAGTATGTCACTGTGACCTACATTTTGGTGGACGTTTTTCAGAGTCCCAAGATGCATCTGCTGACCAAGTTTGATGATCATAGGTCTGAAGGTAATCAAAATATGCCTTTTAAACAATTTGAAAGCAAATGCCTACAAAGTTCAAAAAGTAGGTCACAGTGACCTACTTTTTCTTAAATATGTTTTAAGGTCCCAAGATGCAGCAACTTACAAGATTTGATGATTCTAACCCTCTTAGTGTCTGAAATAATGGGAATAAATGTTTTAAAAAGGATAGATCATAAAGTTCAAAAAGTAGGTCATGGTGACCTACTTTTAAGTTGACGTTCAAGGACCCAAGATGCATCAACTGACAAAGTTTGATGATCATAGGCCTTAAAGTGTTCAAAATATGCCTTTAAATCAATTTGAAAACAAATGCCCGCAAAATTAAAAAAGTAGGTCATCGTGACCTACTTTTGAGTTAACATGATGTGAAGTCCTAAGATGCATCAACTTACAAGATTTGATGATCCTAGTCCTTATAGTAAGCAAAATATAAACATTTTTATTAATTGTAAAATTAGGTCAACTTTGAAGTGACCTTGAGACCACGCCCTTTGCCCCAGGGTTATGCCTTGAACAATTTTTAATCTTCAACATATCCTGATCCTTGTATGTAAGTTTGGTGAAAATCTGACGGGTGGTTCTGGAGAAGAAGATTTTTTAGCAACCAGTACTTTTGGTTTTGTTTTCCTGATTATCTCCCCTTGTTTTAGGGTCCCAACCCTTATTTTAGTATAAATGGTAGCCCTTGGGCCAAGGATACCCTGTGACAAATTTGACACTGATTGGCCAAGGGGTTCTTGAGTTATGGCCCATATTCTAAAAAGTTAACGCACACCGCACGATGCACACCGCACAAATGGCCAAAGCATTAGCTCTTTGAGCCTTTGGCTCAGAAGAGCTAAAAATAGGTGTACTTAACTTCTAGCATTGAAAAATTACAGAATAGTTTTACCTTCATATGTGTTGACAGCTTCCAGGTTCATGACATGCCTGATGACGTGGTACTCATCTGAGATTCCATTCCCTCCGAGCATATCTCGAGCTACACGAGCAATATCCAGGGCCTTGCCACATGAGTTTCTCTTGATCATTGAAATCATTTCTGGTGTTGCTCTGTTAACACAGATATCATATTAATTTTGAATTCCCTTTGATACATGTAGTATGTCATTGTAAATGTATAGAGAAATAATAGATAAACATCTTTGAAGTTATTCTTATTTTGAATGGGCAAAATAGATTAAAATAAAGTAGTTTCTGTCTTATTGAAAACAAGCTGTATAATAATAAATTTGCATTGTCAGAAATACAAATGGATTTTTTTAATGATTAATATCTATAGATAAGGTAAGATATGTTTTATTACTAATTCGGTGCACAAATGGGCATCAAGAGAACAAACTAAAGAAGGAAAGGCCTAAAATATAATTTTAAAAAATCCTTCACACCTAAACATGATTGTACTTACTTGCCCTCATCCTTTAACCTCCCGACCTGTAAACAGGCCTGAAGGCCTATTGAGATTTCTGTGAGCATGTCTGCCATCTTCTTCTGTGGAAGTTGATTTTTGGCAAGAGGTTTACCAAACTGAAATCTGTAGAAAGAATTTTTTTCCGTTTACATCATTTCTGGTAAACTTGAAGAGGAAAAGGGCAGTAACTCTTATTGTAGATGGATTTAATTATTTTGACATAAAATTTATCTGAGCAAAGGAACAGGGAAGGACAGACATGAGGAACATCCCACACCAATAACATTTTGATCCTGGTTGTTACAGATTTTAACCTTTTCACAGAGACTCAAAACGACAAAATCACAGAGAACTGTACCTTATAATCAATAGTTACCTGTCCAGTGTGTACTGTCGAGCAGCTTCCAGACAGAATTCAGCTGCACCAAGTGTTCCCCAAGCAATTCCATATCTAGCATTGTTAAGACATCCAAAGGGACCCTGGATAAGAAAGTATAGAGGTACATGTATGATGAATTTACAGTCCTATAATGTAATCTAGGTCAAAAAAATAATTCTGCATAGAATTTTTTTCTTAATACATCAAAAAGACTTTTTACATGTGATATCCTTTTTTAAAAATATGCTTATATTTTTATAAGACAGAGGGAAAATTATTTGTGAACGTATATATATTGGGATTCACTATTCCTGTGCACTATACTCCTACAAGAGGTAACATCCCTATGCTTCTAATATATATGGTGCCCAGTCAAAAGTATCTCATCGTGAAGCTCTACATGTAGCATACTGGAGTATGTGCACTAGAGCTTAAAAAAAAAGAATATTGAAATGGAATTCATTTTTAAATAAATGCTTCATCAAGTACGCACCCCTAAACCAATGATGTTAGGCATCATATTTTCCTCTGGGACCTCCACATCATCCATTGCGATTTGTCCTGTGATGCTGGCCCTGAGGGAGAATTTACCCTCGATCTTTGGTGCTGTCAGTCCCTTCATACCTTTCTCCAGGATAAACCCTCGAATTTTGTCATTGTCTTTATCACACTTAGCCCACACAATGAATACATCCGCAATGGGGGAATTTGTAATCCTGTAAATAGAAATTAATAAGTATCTGAGTACATGACTTTGTTCATACATGTATATACACTTACATGTAGTTGAAATATCTGGCCTTTATCAATAAGAAAATTATATTAAAATTTAATAAGAATTAAATTTGTATGTTATTTGCATGGAAGTTAAAAAAAATGTGTAATCTATCAATTTCAACTTGAAACCATTTTATCTAGTTTAATTATTTAAAGTTTGAATTTCAACTTTTTTTGTAATCTTGGTGTGGCTAACAGAAGTCCCAGCGTCTAGTAACTGAAGTGAAGAAAAAGGCAACAGCATGTTGCTGTGCAGTTTGTAGGCTGTATACATACCATGACTTTGTCCCATTGAGTGTGAAGGTTTTACTTGAGGGGTTGTATCTGGCTTTTGTCTCCATGGATGATGGATCACTGCCGTGATTGGGCTCTGTTAGTCCAAAGCAACCAATCAGCTCTCCCTTAGCTAAAATATCAAAATAACATTGAATTATAACTTAATACTGTTTAAATCCTACTTTAAATGAAATGTTTACTCAGCATTGAAAAAAAATTCACTTGTAACACAAGCTATGCTAACCCATGTTATCACACCTAAATCATATGTTAATATACATGTATATATCTAAATAAAGTAGTATTACCTAGTTTTGGTATATACTTTTGCTTCTGTTCTTCTGTGCCATAAGCATAAATAGGATGCATGACAAGTGAGGACTGGACACTCATAGCTGACCTATAGCCACTGTCCACTCTGGTAAAAAGATTGTAAATAAAGGGACATAACTCTTTAACTCATTGCACATGGCAGGATTTCACCTTCTTCACATGCAACATACCTGAACTATAATCATGATAATATATGAATATATAAAGGGCCATTTAGCAGAAATAGGTAATTTTGAATAATTAAATTAATGGGAAAAATGTTGGTTTAGATAAGTAGTTAATCAAATAAGATTCTATTTGTTTCATGATCATACGTGTATTGTACACACTTCTACATGTACAAAAGATTTGATAAGCGGACTCTTGCCTACATTACATGTACTAAATACAATTTCTTCATAAATCAAAAACATGTAGTGCATTTAGGGTGTACCTCTCAACTTCTCGAGCAATGAGACCATATGCAACGGAAGAAACCCCAGCACAACCATAACCTTTAATGGTGGGGCCTAGGACTCCAATGGCTCCCATTTCTGGAACAATCTCTGGGTCAAATTCTACAATTACAAATTTTAAAGCAAAAATTCACAAGTGTAACATATGGTAACTTTTGGGATTTTATATAGTTTTCACTAAATATTATCTAATTGAATGTCACTTTGGCAGACAAACATTTCAGGGGTTAGTTTACATACACATTCTTTCTAAAGTAACTAAAAGATAACAATTTTTCTACCTTAGGATCGTATTTAATTCTCAATCTTTACATCATAATTAATGGCATGGTTTGATTTGTTGTAGCTAATTTCAGCGTATTCACTGTGTTACCAAAGAAATGATATTTTTTAAAAAGTTGCAGATTTCTGTAAACATTACAAAACAATTAAATAAATCAACACATCTAATGACAGTGACTCACTTTCATGTCGGTTGGCCATGAGTACTCGAGACATGAGTTTGTCGTCACAGTAAGCTCGAAAGGAATCTCGAACCATCTTCTCTTCTTCTGTCAACTGGTTTTCTAGGTTTAGTGCATCTTGCCAGTTGAATTTTGCTGTAAAAATAATTAACAAAGAATAAAACAATACTCAAAATTATGAATGATAATAAGTCCCAAGTCTTAAACGCTAAAAAGAAATTACAGGCACACATTTAAACCAGTAAATACGAGATTAGTAATTTTTCTCCCTATTTCACCATGAATAATACTTATTAGGGCACAGTTCTCTGCATTTTCTACTTCAGTTATATTCAATTTTCCAAGTAATCATGTATCATCATCGACATAAAGTTCTTTCTGAACTTTGCAAGTGTCGATAAATCAGGATATTAAAAGTTTTCAAAGTTAAATTGTTGTTACAGACAATTAAGAAGTTGCCAATGGGCCACAATGCTCACCTGAGTCATACTGGCAGAGCTGTTCTTAAGAAAAAGGTTTTACTTTTTCTTATCTCTCTACTCAATATGAAAAATTCCCAAATGGTCTTGTTATGCATTAAATCTACATAACATTGAGAAGACTTCATATCAACTCACTAGCATGTCCATTTGATCCCTTAAGGAGTGGGACAATGTACTTTTTCTGTATTGATATGTATGATTTGTATCCTGATATTTGACATATTTGAGCCACAATAAGATATGTATCACTATATATGCATTTTGAATTGGTTTAAGGAATGACTGTCTAATTTTTTGATTTCATGATGTGATCAATTGAGTGGCTTGTGTGATAATTTTCATGAACGCCGAATTATGCATAAAATTATCATGCAAGCCAATCGATTGATCATTGTCATGAAATCAAAAAAATCTGACAGTTATTCCTTATATTTACATGCTCTTGATTGGACGCTATAATCCACATGCTACAAGCCCTGCTTCTGTCTCTATCTCTTCACGTCCCACCCCACACGTGATTTTTTTTTAGAACCACGCCTATTGATGAACAGTACATTGATGCAGAAATAAAGCACATTAACTATTTGTAATTTTATCTTGGACAAAGACATTAGAAATGTAAATTTTATGAAATCTTTTTGTATTATATAATGTAGGGCTGGGACTATATATCGATATATCTGTGAGGAGGATACTCATATCGATACATATGAAGAAATTTCGAAATATCACAAAAAAAATCTGACTTCTATTTTTCTTTGTTTATTTAACATTTGGGGTTTAATATATAAAATGAAGAAGCTAAATATAAATATAGATATGAAATAAATAATAACGAACACCACTTGAGTAAAATATTTTTGTTTTACAACATATTTATTAACAACTATTTTGAATAAACTATTCTTATTTGAAAAGAAATAATTTTTTTATTTCAATGCAAAAAAAGATTTTATAATCAATTAAACATATCGTGATACATATTGTATCGTGGCTCAAATATCGTGATACATATCGATATAGAAAAAGTTGTATTGTCCCAGCCCTAATATAATGCATAGAGAGAAATATGAACTCTTGAAAAATTTACAATATAAACAACTACATCAGACAATGGACAAATTTCTATCAGAAAAATTCACTTAAGTTTCAGTTTAGATGAGCTAAAGATCATGAAGATAAAAAAGTCTTATCATACCTGTTGATTTTGCACGACGAATTATATTTTTTTTCATCAAGGAAATCAGATGAATTTTTTTTAATAGTTGAATCAGAAACTTTATTGATACGCATAACATCAAGATAACAAAAATTAAAAGGAAAGAAAGAATTTTTTTTTATTAGATTTCAATTATCATTTCAACAAAATTTCTTTTAAAACTCTTAATTAGATTATAGCAACATAATGTTAAAGTTTAAGAACTATGTCTTGTCTAATAACATCCTCTCACAGAGATAAAATATATCCCATTTTCATTATTGTTGCAATACACAGTCAAACCTCCTCCATCTCAAATTTGATGGAACAGAAAATCCAGATATTTGAGATACTGAGGATAAAATACTCAAAATATAAGTGATTGGAACTTCTATATCACTTTGAAATATCCGTGGTTTTTGATGTTACTTTCAGCATGTTCAGATGTCTAGTTGAATAATTTAAATACAATTGATCTATGTTGGTAATGAGCTTTGAGATATTAATTTTATTACTAATAAAAATCTTAACACATACACAAAAAATGACCAAAAAGAATGTTATAATAAAACTTTTCAGTCTTTTAATCTGTGTTATGCAACAAATGCAAAGGTTATCGAATGACTTTCTCTCTGTGTCTTTACACAATGCAATGCATGATTCTAAGTAAGCGTATACTGTATTACAATGATGAAAAGAAACAATGCTTAAAAACTATCATGATTTTAATTATTTTCCTTTAATGTTTTTAATACGAGAAATCCCGTATTTTACAAATATTGACAGTTTTGTAGAAAATGACAATGACGAAAATGAACTTTATAAATCAGATATGATCAAACAAAGGATACGTGCAACAGTTCCTTGAGTCCTGCAAGCTGTATACCGAGCACCTGTGTTGAAAATTAACTTAAACAACGGGGAGGTCGTTTTCATCGACATGATTATTTGTTTGTTTCGAAAGAGTATCCTTGACCTTGAGTGACACACCTATTCATCGATCAATGTAAATGTTGTGCCAACATGTATATAAATTTGTAAAACTCGAGGTCGCAGTCTTGGTGTATGGAATCGGCCAGGAAGGGGCTATGATTTGTTAATTTTTTTCAATTAAATAAACAAGATACGTTGAATGATGCGAAATGTAGTAGATGATTCCTTTTCTACATACCATGCATACACTTATGGAAGGGAATTACCGCCAAAAGTCTATGTATCTTGCTTTTATTCTTATTCTACCTACTTCTTTATGCTTTGTTATTGTTGTAATTATATGTCACTTTATTGTTTTCATATTCGTCTTTATTACATTTCACTTTGACTTTTATCCTTCTTCATTTTGCCCTTACTTTTATGTTGCTTTATTCTTGTAAATTCATTTTACTTTCTTTTAAATTGATACAGTTTCTTAAATGATTATCTCTATTACGAACGTGAATTCAATCACACAAAGAATGAAGCATATTCAATGAAGACGAATACAGTTGTAAATATTTAGTGCCGCATTATAACGCTAGGTGGCAGGGGTGTTTACAAGTGTTGGTAAAAAATAAGCAAACCCGGGCCGGGGTTATTCGAGTTTTTTTTCTATTTTCTGTCTTAATACTTTATCAATCGAACTAAAATTTTCAAAGGATGTTTGCTATAAGTTCAGGTATGTACCCGATAATGCCATTCCCTCGGAAAATGGTAAGATTTCCCCTGGAAGACTGACTACATAGTGGTGCTTCCTTCGTGGAAGACTATACAGTGGACTTCCCCCGGGGAAGTTTCAATATATAGCTAGTCTTCCGTGGAAATCTCGCTGTATAAAACAATTCGTCCTCCTTCATAGTAACCCCTCCCCCGAATAGTTTTTTTAATCGTAAAACAATGTTTGTATACTAACGTTTTCAGATTTTGAAGAAAACTTATCCTTCCTATATGAATAAATGTTTAAATGATATCATTTTAATAGTGGTTAATAATTAAATCATTTTAACCATTTAGTTGAACTTAGATAATCTTCACGAGTACAAATGGATAATTTTCTTCCCCCCCCCCCCCCTGAATGCAGCCCCAACCCCCCACCCCCCAGGTGCAGTCGCCTGCGTGGCACTGTGGTTACGGCGTCTGCTCTAGAGTCACGAAACACAGTAGTAAGGAGTCGATCAATACCACTATGGGACGTGGAGTTCGGTCCTTCGGATGAGATCTAGACCGTATTATCCGAGGTCCCGTTTTGCAGTAGGTGCTGGCACGAAAAAAGATCCCTCACTGCTCAATGGCTATAAGTGCCGAGTATATAGGACAAATTTGCATCTCTCCACCTGCAAGAGGTGGCTCCTCCATTTGAGTTAAAAATTCTCGAATTTAAAGGGACGTTATACAATGTACAATCATTATCACACCCCCAAGTCTCAATGAATATACTGACTTCCGTCTGTACGACCTCCTATGGGGTAAGTTTCATTGGTAGAGGGGAGGGTGGCCACGAAACATTTTCCTAAACGTAACAGACTTTCTACTTCTGGAAAAGTTCAGCGAAAGGCTTGTTGCCCCCATCCCTTACACTTTTTGTTGCAGTACTAGTAGTCAATTTATATATCAAATATTAAAAGTCATGGACTTAGTGGCATATGAGTAAAATTTGGTATTGAAAAAAGTTGACGACCCCCCCCACCACCACCACCACCACCACCACCAAAAAATTATAGCAGAAAAAAGACTGGGGAGTTTCTAGTATGACTGGGGTGTAGGTTGGTTCCGACTTCGCCCACTCATAAAACTCCTCACTCCTTTGCAAAGCCCCGTCCCTAGAATCACACGCATGAGCAGTTTAAAATATCTGTCGTGAAATAAAGTTCAGTTTAGTGGAAGGTCCTGAAAAACAACTCAATTTAGAAGGGTAACTAGTATCAAAATATTTAACATTTTATGTCAATTAAACTGGAATTCAATTATCCAACAAATAACTTAATAGAGTTATATTTTCAGGCGAGAGAACAGTGACGTAGAATCGTTTTTGAAAATTCAAGCTACCCGGCTAAAAACAACTTGACAAGCAAAAAAAAAAAAATTTAAACAAGGAAATTGTCCAAACTTGAAAATACATAGGCGTCAGAACCGGGGAGGGGGAGGGGGGGGGTTAGCCCCCTCTTTTTTTCCAAAGATAGACTTAGTATAGACATTGAACATTGCTGCTTAGGTTTAGCCCCCACTTTCCATGGACACGATGCAGTATAGGTTTAAAAGGGCAAGTGTTGGTGTTTTGAAATTGACACTGAAGTTCGAACCTCTCTCTCTCCCCCCCCCCCCCCCCCCCACGAAATAGGATTTTCGGGTTTGGACAGTTAACATTTCTTTTTCTTTTTTTTGCTTGTCAATTTTTTTTTGAAGGTCTAAAAAATATTTCTTACACTTTGCCCCCCCCCCCCCAACTTTCACTTTGCTTCCGACGCCAATGAAATCCTATT